GAGGCATACAAGGATCCTATGGTGACAGAATGTAGGGTTAAAGGCATTTATTTCCCTACTTTATTGGTTGTTTAGGACAAGATTTGTCAGCCTTCACATGTATCCCGTTCCCTTTGAAACCCCTTCTCTCTCACCGCCCTACTCCAGATTGGGGACTAGCACTCTGACAAATTAACCCCAAGATTAGAGGATGAAAGAGAGAAAGATCAAAAGGAAGCCAAGAATCACATAGGAAGAGGCATCGTGATTTAGGGACTTGAATGTTTGGCAGCCAAAAATGCTGTCTTCTTTAATCCAAGGATGTCTCATAAAGGAAGAACTTGGTAGTTCATACAGAAGTAAAGGATGTTCTGTATGCAGATGGATTTCGATGTAATGATCTGCTTAAGAAAATAATTAGCCAGGGTCACCCCAGGAGTGAATGTTGGAATTGAATGCTGATACCTTACTGGATGTGAATTTGAAATTGGAAAACAGAGTAAACATAATGGTGGCTGCTGCCTTTGATGCATTCTCCTTCCCCTACCCACAAAGTCAGGGACCCTGCCTAGTTTCCCCTTATCTTTCGAGTCACTTTTTAGGGGAGACTCAGCCAGAACAATGTTCTTTTAAGTCCATTGTCTTTTTGTAAAACCAACAAAAAGGCATTATGGATTTTTGAGGGCTCAGACTATCTACAGTTAGACAATTGCAGATAGTAATGTTACTAAGAAAAGTTTTTCTTTGGGGCCTTCACTGTGGATACATCTGTTTATCTGCCCAAGTCAACCTCACTCGTCATCCCTTTAGTCACTTACCTATCAGCAGTTATTATGTGTCTGCCACAGGCCAGGCTCTCAGCTCTGGAGAACCAGAGACAACGACTTAGGCTCTGTCCAGAACAGATTCCCGGGTAAGCAGCCACTTCAGTGAGGACTGGGAGGGGCTGTGGTCTAGCTGGTCATAGGACACCATGGGTGGATCACAGAGAAGGGGCACCGAAGGTAAACCAGGAAGGCATTCTCCGGGTCTTACTCTCAGAGAGGAATAGGTTGGCCAGAAGAAGGGAGAGGTAGAAGGGGAAAGAATAGCAAGAGTGAGTCTAAAGCCAGAAATATAGACAAAAACCAGATAATGAAAAAAACTGGAAATTCTGGGAAGCCAGCAAGGGGCTTTAGGTAGGGGATATGACCTGATGAGCGTAATGCTTCACACTCACCTTGGTGACCAACATGGATCATGACTAGAGGAGGATGGACCTGGGCACAGGGAGGACAGTGGAGAGCTCCTAAGACATGCACACGGGTTCTCATGGGGACCTGAACCAAGGCAGTTACAGAAGGAATCAAGGAAAGGGACAGATTCGCATGTTATTGAGAAGATAAAATCGACAGGACTTGGTGCCTGTTTGGAGAAATGGGAGAACTCTGAAATGGCTCCCTGGTCTGGGATGGGCAAGTAGGTGAAAAATAAAGCAGTGTTGTTCCCTGAAATAGGGAATGTTGAAAGGACAGATTTGGGGGTATAGGGATAGGATCTTTAAGTTTGACACATGCTAAGTCTGAGATACCTTTGAATTTCCAGGTGGAGATATCTGTTGGCGGGTGGCTGTTTCTAGGCTGGGGCACAGCAGAGATGTGTGGGCTGGGAAGGAATCATCAGTATATGTAGTTGTTGTGGCCATTTATGCATACAGTAAACATTAAGGGCACACGGTAGTCAGAGCCAGCTTCATGGCTGGGTGACCTGTGCAGTCACACAGCCTCAGGCTCAGAAGGGCCCCACATTTGGTTTAACGCTGTGCTGTCAGCATCTTAAAAGTCTCCTTGATAAGAGAACCTGCATTTTTATTTTGCTGTGGACCCTGGAAATTATGTAACCAGTCCTGCTTATAATAGCCTGGCCCTGTGTACAGTAGTGGGGCTACTGTGTTGAGCCAGACAGACATAGTTCTTGCCTTAGGAGCTTACTGGCTAGCATGTAAGGCAGACAATTAAGTTACCAAGGACAAAATGTGATGGTTCTATAGTAGAAGTACCAGTCTAAGGGAGCATGTAGGAGAGAGCTCGAAACTTAATCTTGGGGGTTAAGGAGTTTGGAAATGACATTGCCCAGGGAGAGGGGGTAGAGAGGCAAAATGGTAGGCCGCAATACCAAAGGAGGCATAGAGAAGTCTGAGAGCGAGTGCCCTGGCAGGTAGGAGGGAAACAAAGAGAATGAGTATCCCAGAAGCCAGGGTTGGGAGAGCCCTGTCAAATGCTGCCAAGGAGACTGGGAATGAAGTCATGCCCAATGGATATAGCAACAAAGAGGCCATTTGGTGACTTGTGAAAGCAGTTGGGTAGAGAGAGGAGCAAGGATGAATTTACCTCTGAGGGGTCAATGGGAGGTGAGGAAGCAGAGACCCTGAATGTAGATTATTATTTCTAAACATTGGCTTAGTAGGAAAATAAAGGTAATAGACTTTGGAGGTGGGTTTTGGATTAGGAGAGTGTCTTCTGTTTGGTTTTGGTATTGTTTTGTTCGATTTTAAACACAAAGTACTTTGGTCATGGTTTTTAACGAAGGACAGAGAGCGAGTGGAGAGAAACGTTAGAAATACGGAGGGAGAATAACTGATACAGGGAAGACCATGAGGAGGGGCGCGATAGATGGACTCGCTCTTGTCAGGAAGAGAAGAAGAAAAGATCGCTGAGGGAGCAGGAGCATTTTTAGGTGAAGGCCCCTTTCGACTCTGTGACGTCGACCCCACTTTACTTGTGTAAACAAACATCAGTTGTCTCTTAGTTCTACTCGCTTCTTGCCTCAAATTCAAGGAAAACTTTTTCCTAAATTGTCTCATCTGTTCCTTTGTTCCACCAATATTCGTTGGGCACTTGCTATGTGACAGCCACAGTGCCAAGCATTTGGAATAAAAGAGTGAACAAAACGGACCTCCTGACGTGCAGGTCCTGGAGGAGAATATTCCATGGCCCGATGGGGCATGGTGGCTCCTCCCTGCAGGCAGCCAGCTGTCCTCCTCCCGGGTCCCTGACGCTACCATCGCTACCTTCCCTACCTTCTTCCTTTTATTCATTATCTTTTACTTCCCTCCTGGATATCCACCTTTTCTAGTTCAAGCCTGGAAGCTGGAATTCAGTGGCCACGTGGAAAAAGGGAAGAAAAAGAGTTAAGATTAGTTTTAAGCAAAATTTTGGACCAGAAGGTTGCCTTTCGAATTTATTACATAATGACTTTTTCCCCCCAGGTGCTCAGGGCCCTTCTTGCTACCCTAAGATTAGGCCCCAACCTAGACCTTCCTTTCAAGTTTCTCCATCCTGTATCAAAACCCCTACTCCCTTATTGTAGTTATTCTCAGCTAATTAGGACAAAGACAATTTGAATTAACTCACACTGATTTGTGAATGGTGGATATCAGCTTTTTTTGCGGGGCAGGGCTGTGATTGCATTTTACAAGTGGCTCTGGGTTTATAAGAAAGAATCTTTAATTTGTCCTATTTTCAGTGGCATAATAAAAGAAGTGATATAAATATTAAACCAGGAGGCATTCTTTTCGGAGTCAGTTCCCCTAAATGTTTCCATTTTCTCACAACTTCTGCTGTTTTTGTCCTAGATGGAAGATTCTCTAAAGCCCCCGAAGATTTTTGTTGTCATCTCCTTCCTTGCCTGTCCCTCTCCACCAGTTTCTATGACAGCAGCAACTGGGCACAGGTGGTGCGGGATTGGGGGAGGGGTCGTGACAGCTGCAGCCATTTATAGGAATTGTTTCTAAGTCAGGGACTGCCTCTGCAGTGGGAGGGAGGGGTGCCAAGGGCTTCTTGGCACAAAGAAGGCAGCCTCCCCTAGTGTCAACGAGGCATCACTCAGCTGAGCTCATCGAATCCCGCGTTTATGGGTCTTCACAGAGAAGTGTGCCAGGTCTCAGGTCTCTGGCTCCCTGCTATCAGGGAGCTTTTGGGTTTGAATAGAATGCAATTCCCCACGCCACTTCCATTTGTCATAGAAATGGCAACCTTCCACCACAACCGCTCGATAGCTGGAAAGTAGCTGTCAGGAACCACTTGGGAACAGGAGGCCCCCCCGGGAATAGGCCTTGGAAAGGTTGCTCCACAGTTATCGATCCTGCAGCCTCCCCTTTAGACATCTGCTTTGGGGAACTCTGTTCTTTCCAAAATCCTTGAGTCAGCAGTAGCTCTTGGGCACATTTTTGGGAGTGTATGAATTTCCTGAGCTTTCAGATGAGATGAGAGTGGTTTTTCCTGGACTCGGGATGTTACCCTAGAAACTCAGGAGCCTCAGTCAGGCATGCTCAGATTTTTGCTGAGCCTGTGAATCACTGAGGGAATGTTGTCATCATGCAGATTCTGATATAGTAAGTCCAGGGTGGCACCTGAGAGTGCATTTCTCACAAGCTCCTGGGGAAGGCCAGTGCTGCTGGCCTGCAGAAACTTTGAGTAACAAGGACCTGCAGCTGTACTGTGGACTACATGAAACACTAGCCACTTGTGACTGCTTAAACTTAAAGCTAAATTAATTCAAATTGAACAGATAAAAAACCCTGTGTCTGGGCTGCGCTGACCACGATTCACATGCTCACTACGCACACATGACTGCACAGATGAAAACGTTCCCATTATCACAGAGTGTTCTGTTGGAGAGCGCTGGTCCAGCCTGGGCCTCTGTTTCATCATTCATTCATTCGTCCATTTATTAGTCGAGCATCCACAAAGTGCCAAGTAGTATGCTTGCACGGTCCCATCAAACACAGTTAACCATTAAGACACGGTTCCATCAAGCAGGAAAAGTACATGTAAGCTCACTAGAATGGGATGTTCTTAAAGGGCAGGTACCTATAACGTGGTGAGGGAGCCAGCGTTGGTAACCATGAACTTGGCCGTGCCGGTTGGAGGAGAAAGTTATCAGCTGGGCATTTCATGCGTGTTCTGAACCAGCTGGGGAGTTAACACAGAATCCGGGCACTGAGGAAACTGGCCGCTGACCATGCGTTTTCACCATTTCAGGGCAATAATCATCAGAAATGGAGAAATCATCCCCATGTCTTCAGAATTCACCCCTGAGACGGAACGCCAGCGACTTCAGTACCTGGTAAGAGTCATTTAGGTTTGGCAGAGCGCTGTGGTGTCGGGGATGGCGTGGGGCTGTTTTGGAGGAATGTGTTGCTATTGACATGGGAACAGGCCCACAGCATATCAACATATCGTATTAAGTCCCCCCTCACACACACACACACACACCTTCTGGATCACACATCCTGGCTCCCTGTTCGATAACACACTCCACCTCTGTGAATTTATTATTGTGGCTGATTTTCTCCCATCTGTGACCAATAGAAGACACGGCATGCACTGTTTCCTTTAATGGTTTGGTATATACGATATGGAAGGCGGTGTTGAAGAACGCAGATACCTTCCTTGGCCTGCTGCTCACTTTAATTTCAACAGAGGGGCTCAGTCTGAGTCACTTCATGAGAAGGACAAAAGCCCCGCTATGCCGCTGACTTCGTGCTCAGATATGAAGTCTCTGGGGCTTTTGGGGAGAGACGCAGGTGTCAGAAAATCTGTTTCTACCCTGAAAATAAATTCTCCATGTAGATAGATCACTCTCTTTGGGGTAAAATTATGACAGGGCTATTGTGGGGACTGTGTGGTTTTTCAGATCTTGAGAATGTGTGCTTCACTCAAAAGATTTGCGTTTTCTGGAAAACAGAATAAGCTTCCTTCCCTGCCCTCAAATTGCAAGGGGTAGGGCGTTAGGCTTGGAATCTCAGTTCAGCGACTTTGGGCATCATCCTAGATGCTTTTTGGTGGGGAATGTTAGGGGGAAAACTGTGTGAATAGTTGTTTTGTAGATGAAACGCTTTCTTTGCCAACTGGCTTTCTCTTTAGACAGCATAGCTAAAGCAGTGCCTCTCTCTCTGCTCTTAGGAAGGAATTGATTCAGGCTGCACTAAAAGGAGTTGGTTTGCGTCTCCGAAATTTAGCATGTGTGGACTGCCAGATTTCGATGACTTTGGTCAATTTAGACAGTACCTGTGTTGCTTTTGGTAGTTGTCTGGTACATAAAACAGCAGAATCCAAAACGAATGTGAAGCCATGTCTTCACTCTTTCACTGACAATTGTTTTCTAACCTTCCTGTTGTTGTTTTCAAGAAGATAAACTTGAAGCCACTCCTAGGAGCCCAGACTTCGGAGCACTTCATTTTCTTTGGCAGTCCAGGCAGATGAAGGGATCCTGCAGCAGTCACAGGACGTCTTCACGCTGGTCCCAGCTCTCGCCAGTCGGGTAGCTTTTTGCAAGTCTCTTAACCTTTCCAGACCTCAGTTTGTCACTTACACAATGGAGAACTAGATTAGAGGGTCACGAAGGACCTTCGAGCTGCCAGGGTGTCTTCCAAGTAGAGTTTATAACAGCTGGCCTCCTTGCCACCTGTCTGGCTTTGTCCTATCCATCTTCCACACACCACACAAGCGATCTAATCACGGCCCTTGTCACTCACCTGCCTGAATACCTTTGGCTCCCCACACAGCACAGAATGTGGGCCACCCTTGGCAGACACAGAGCCACGGCCCCCACCCACCTCTGCCGCACCACCTCACTGTTGCTTCCATTTCCACCTTGCATCCCAGGCGGCGACCACAGAGAACTACCTTCCATTTCTAGGACACCCTGATCTCTCTAACCTCCATGCCTTTGGAAATACATTCTGCCTGGATGACCCTTTTCTTCTTCACCAGAAAAACTCCTCCTCATTCTTTGAGAGCCAAATGCGAGTGTCACTTCCTCCAGGAACTGTCCCTTCATCTCTCCAGGGGGTCCGTCTCCAGGGCTCACACAGAGCTGTGTAGAGGCCTTCAGCATACAATATTGTATTGCGTTCCCATCTCTGTCTCCCCTTCTAAACTGTAGTCCTGGAGGAGAGGCCCCCTTACTTAGTCACCTCATACTGCCAGTAACCCAGCACGGAAGAGATACCGAGTCCGGTTTTGTTGACTGAAAGAAAGAATGAACCGGTATTCATGCTGACGTCTGGATCATTACCACACAGTTCTCACCCCTTCACCTCCCCCAACCCCAAACCTATCACAGTGGGCGCCAGGCCTTTGATGGCACCTCGTCTTCATTACTTCCTTGCTCCTTAGTGAAAACTGTTTCCTGTTTTCCTGCTAGAGGCAATGGTGACTAACAGGTTAACTTTTTTTTTTTTTTGAAATAATTTTGCATTTTCATGTTATAAGAATAGTACAAAAGAGCTCAAAACGTTCACTTTTGAGGAGGGATGGGAATGCTGACATTTTTCAGATTCCTGAATATCAGTGCTCTGTTTTGGAGTATTTGGAAGAAGATTTGTGTGCCTCCAGATCTCAGCTTTGTCATGTAACTGTGTCTGATTTTAACAAGGTCTTTCAGTGATCCCCAACTTCATCATCAATAATGGGTAGAGAAAACCTCAGAAGGCAGGTGTAAGAATCAAATGAAATAATACATGCAGGATTCTTTTGTGGCACCTAGTACTCATTTTGTTCTTGTTTGATGAATCAAAGTCTTGCCACTTCAGATCCTACTAGCCTGCAAACCATAGTAATATTTTTTCCTTGTTTTTACTTAAGAATCATTCCTAATGTTCCTAATATTAATGTGTATTTTGGTGTCACTCTTGAATAATCAGTGTGGACACTATTAACCCACAGAACTGAGCCTAATGTCTGAATTTCTAAAAGGTGAGGACAATGTCCCCCTTCTTTTTAATACTGACTCCTAAATCACATAGGTTTCTCTTATTTGTAACTAAAACTTTTCTCCCTAAACAACAGAAGTGTAAATGAACAAAAATTATCCTGGTTGCTCAACTTCCTGAAATGAACAAATGCAGTGATAATGTTCACATGATCTATGATGCGAATCTTTGTGAAGTATTTGAGAGAATTAGGGGATCTATAGCATAAAATAACTTTGTGGTGAAATCTGTATGGTAAAGTATTTGAGAGAATTAGGAGGTTTAACATGTTAAAATCTTGAAAATAATATCAATTAGAGGAAAACAGAAGCGTGATGTGTACTTCTGTCAGCTCAGCCCCGCTGTGAGCTGTGTGACCTCAGGTCCCTCACATGGTATCTCTGAATCCCCTTTTCTCCTGAAAGAAATCTATAGGAATACATGCCTGGAGATAGTCATTATATGTTCTGAAATTAAAATGAGAAATAATCCTGTGGTATTTTTAAATACAGTGTATACCTTATCTTTTTGAATGCATCTAATTTTACCAGTTCATTGTCTTTTTTTGAAACGGTTCCCTTGAACTAATTGTGAATCAGTTTAGTGCAGTGATAGGTGTAGTATCTTTGACATGATTTAAACAAGTTAGTACATACATGGAAAGTTAACAACGTATTCTTTCTTCTTAGGTCAAATCAAATTTTATTTTTATGATGTGTGAAGAAACATTTACGATAGAATTATTAAAACTTCTACGTCCCTAGAGACTTGATTTGAGCAGCTGTCCGTAGTCCTAGGGCTGTTTGACTTGTAGAAATGGTTAATGATTTTCTTGGAGGTAGAAGAGGTTGAGAGCCCTTTGTACGTGAACCGTTTTGATCTGTGTGGAAAAGGAATGTTCTTGGTATGCACAGGCTGGATGTTTGGGGATTATAGAAGTGGAAGCAGATTACAAGATGATGGATGTGGCAGGCACGCTAATTTTGTTTGGTCTTGCATCCCGACCTCAGAGGGCCTTTCGTGCAGCTCTCCGGGTAATGTGAACTTTGTTCCGTAGATTCTTGGGCAGGGTGATTAATCAAGCAGGATTGAGGGTTTGACGTGTTCACACGGAATGTGGCAGGTGTGTGATGAAGGGGTAAAGGGCTCTGCACTTCTACCCCAGCAGCCAAGGAGAGCTGATGATTCCATGGTCATGAATAAGCCTTCTTTTCTTTCTTTCTTTTCTTTTCTTTTTTTTTGTTTTAAATGTTTCCAGGGTGATTGAAATAAAATATTTAATGGGGTCCACCAAGCTAGACAGAATGTTTTGATTGAGTCAAGGCCCAGAGAGGAGAGAACGTGGTCTGGTTTGTGGACGTTTCTCACCAGAGTTGACTGCTCTGATGCTGTGGCCTCTAGGAAATCCCCCCCACCTTTGCTTCAGGTGACAGTCCGAAATGGGTCTTCCTCAGGGAGACCTCTATAGCCCGAAGCTGTGAGAGTGATGGCTCCCCTTCCATTCTGCCTAGACATAGTTATAAACTCTGATTTGATTGCATTAAGATGTGCTGGTATCATCAAACCTTCAAACAACACACTTCTGTCCTTGCTGATACTCCAGCCCTGCAGCTGTTTCTCATCAAGGGCAATATACAGAAGAGATAAAAGTGGGTTTCAAATACACATTTGATACATGCAAGTGCAACATTATCTGAGATGATTCCTTGCGGTGTCCTTGGAACTGCCCCCAGCCTTCTACACTGAGCCTGGTTCTGTTTGCCTGCCCTTTCTCTGTTGCTGGGCTTGGGGAGGTTTCAAGAGGAAAGCATTGTGACTCTTGGCTCCTTGGGATTTTTCATGCTCAAGAGTTTTCTTCCAAAAAAGTGTATTTCATAAGCCCGCACATGCTTTTCAGAGGCTATCATGGGATGAGTCAAGTATGCTAGTGGATAAAAAGTGACTGACCTGCCACCTGGACATCGCACTTAACCTTGAGAGCAGGTTGTTAAGGCTGGGAGCCTGGCTTTAGTCACCGGGAAGCAGCTTCACCACCGACCTGCTTTGCCTGATGACCGAGTCATGGAAAATTCCCATTTAGCTCCCTTTTGCAAAACTGCATGAGTTTCAACATTTCCAATTAAAAAATGCCAGACAAAAGAGGATGACATTTTTCATATTTACTCGAGGCTCCATTGATGGCACAGGTGATACGAAGAAGCCAGGATTTTAAACTGGCACAGCCCAGGGTTTTAGAGGCATGGTTTATATTTGGCTGCCCTAGGAGCACGGCCTGGCTTCACGGAGGACTCGCAAGGCATTAATTAGCCCTTATAACTGAACCTCACCACTTCCAGAACCTTGATTTTTAAAATGAATATACATGGATATT